TGTAATCGCGCTGTGATGTGAGGTGGTAGCGAAGTGGGAGCTGTAGCGGTTCGTCCCGCAGTGCAAGCAGAGTTCAATTGTTCGAAAGGTAGGTTCACAGCGAGGACCCGCGAGCTTCGCAGAAACGAACGCTAAATCAGACGAAGCCACGCAAGGGGAATCTCAGGAACACGATGGTGAGTTCATGATCGGGACTGGAGACTGCGAGGGGAGACCCTGATCTGGGCCGGCGGCACGGCAGAGGGAAGCCGCCCGACTGGCCGGAGCTCCGCAGTCTCCTTTTTCCGCGACCCCGCGCTGCACCGTGTCGTATGCGTCCATGCACAGTGGCCTGTTTCTCAGAGAGGTGCTTCTACGCAGATGAGCAGGAATGAGGGGTAATCTAGCTGGCACTGTACGGTGTATCAGGGACGCTGGACAGCGACTATTGGCCCCCTCGCCCCACTCCAGCAGCTGCAGTTCGGTCGCTAGCGCCCTTCTCCAATGGCCCCAGCGGCCCAGGCCAGGCGAGTCCACTGTCCAATGTCCACTGTTCACAGCAGAGAGACACCGGATGCCAGTCCAGTGGCATTGCTGCATTGCTCCAGTGGGGTCGCCAGGCCCTGGACATGGCAGCACCTCCATCGTCCAGGGTGTCTGAGGTCCCCGCTCCCCGCTATGAGGTGAGCTGCTGCTGGTTGTGGTGGTGCGTGGCTTCCGCAGGCTTGCTTGACCGCCCCTCGATTCCCGGTGCCGGTGCAGTTTCAAGGGACAGCTTGAACTTTCCCGATTCCATTGACCTCAACAACCTCCCTCCGCTCTCTCTCCCTTCCGTCTTGCTTCTTTCTTTCTTACTTCCTTCTTTCCAACAAACAAGATCCAAACAATCAAACAGACACAATGGCCACTGCTCAGATCCCCCCCGGAGGCACCTACCTCGACACCTTCAAGAAGTCCTTTGTCGACGTCCCTGTCGACGCCGACAAGGAGAATGCCATTGCTACCTCCGAGTTCCTCGATGCCGCCGAGTCTCTGACCACCATCTTCGGTAAGTCCAACAATCACTTCGCGCTCAATGCTTCCTTTTTCTGACGAGCTGTTCCACAGATGCCCTCGGTGGTGTCGCTTTCGGCCCCGTTAAGAGCGACATGGGCGGCAACATCAAGGTACGGAGCACCCCTCTTTGACGACGCTCTCCCTGCCGTCTCCCTGTCTCCAAGCCTCTACACATCCGACAACACCTCCGAGTCGAAACAAACAATGGCTGACCTATTTCCGACGTACAGAAGATCCGTGACCGTCAGCTCGCCGCTCCCGGCGAGTCCGCCAACCTCCAGGAGCTTGTCAAGAACGAGCTGGCCACTAAGAAGCACGTCGCCACCGAGGGTCTCCTCTGGTTGACTCGGTAAGCCTCCCTGCGCAACCCATGACAAAAGGAGAAAGACAGAAGCTAACGGCATTGTTCGCAGTGGCCTCGAGTTCACCTGCATTGCCCTCAGCCAGAACGTCGCCAAGGAGTCTGAGGAGCTCTCCGAGTCCTTCCGCAACGCCTACAGCACCACCCTCAAGCCCCACCACAGCTTCCTCGTCAAGCCCATCTTCAGCGCTGCCATGAGCGCCTGCCCCTACCGCAAGGACTTCTACGCCAAGCTCGGTGACGACCAGGACAAGGTCGCCTCCCAGCTCCGCGTCTACCTCGCCGCCCTCGAGAAGATTGTCGGCATCCTCAAGGGCTTCCTCGCCAGCAAGGACGCCAAGTGGTAAAAAATACATGTAACTCTTTGATATGAACATAAAGAGAAAGGAAACAATGAAAACAAAATAAGGATATCAATCGCGATATGATGTAAGAAGCAACATGTCGGTCTCCGCTGCGGTGCGAGTACATCGTCAGCTACGAGCCAGTTCACGCAGCCTAGAAATGAATCACGCCGTCGAAACTCGGACAAGGCGTTCTTTGATCAATCGTCGACCAACACAATACGCTGGTCATTGTACAATGCTCTTTGAAGTCTCCAAGCATGTTGAACGGTGTCTGAGGACAGCTAAACATATAACCTCTGCCTTTACCCCATCTTACAGTCGGGCAACAGCATTAACGACAACAGAATTTCGGACTCGACTATCCAAAACCAACTAGAACGCACTTGACCAACCCACACAATGTCATACAACATTATGACAAGGGTCCGGGACCTCAATGGCGCGATGGGCGATCTCCAAGTCAGATTACCTCCCGAACTTTTTCTGCGCATCGCCGAAGAATTAGGATTAATTATCATGAGCGATTCGTTTCAAAATCAGTTGGTTCAAGATGAAGCTAACGGCTCTCTGGCCGAGGACGATGCTGAGCAAAACATCGATCATGCGGTGAGGCAAGTAACAGTCTGCCTGCAGGAATGTCCTACTCTGTCCATGCTCCGGGCCAGCACAGTTTCCCGGTACTTTCGCGAAAAGATTCTATCCATCGCTCTCAGATGGGATGCTGCCAGCGAGAATCCGTTGGCCATCCACTTCGCTGCCTCGAGAGGATATGCGACGTTACTGAGTAACGCCTTGAAGCAACCGGGTGCGGATCCAAACTACACTCCAACAGGCTTCGGTCACGCTGCATTGTCCCCCGTCATGGCCGCGACATACATGGGCCACTTGAAGAGCGTCCAGCTACTCCTCGATGCCGGCGCTAATGTCAGAGACCTCGAGGGGTTGGAACAAAGGTGGCAAGTTGCTCCCCTGGTCGAAAGCTTCACCACGCAACTCCGTAATGCGATGAGCGTCAACCGTTTTTGCGTCAGGTCACCTCTTCATTTGGCTTTGCTGGCACCCGAAAACGCAGTAGAAATTTTCCGTTTGATACTTCAAGAAGCCCGGCCTCAATCCCAAGACCAGTACATCGCCAACCCCGACACAAGAATGTTCGCTCATGCCGTTGCCCAGGATCACGTCGATTTAGTAGACACCCTAATACAGTCTGGGGCGCAATTAGACCATGGAGGCCAAACCTCCCACGGTCCGAACATTCCCGTCCTCCATCATGCCGTCTCTGCGCAAATGATTCGCAAGCTTTTACAGGTCGGTGCTTCCGTACAGACACCTCGCAGAGTCGGCCTCAACGCGTTACACGCCGTGTGTCTTCGCCAAAAGAATTGTGGATCAGCTGTACAGGAACTAATCAACAAGGGAATCGATGTCAACGAGATCACTGGCGGCGGCCCTGAGCGCAACACTCTGATTGATATCGGTGACTCTGTCAGCCGCGTCCTGCAGGATTCGATTCCTCAGACGGCATTGAACCTAGCTTGCCGACAGCTTAATCTTGCTCATATTAAGATCCTCCTCGATAACGGTGCCAATGCCATGGGCACAAATCACAACATTGAGGACTACAAGGACGAACTTACAGGCGAATACTTCCAGGCATCGCCACTTCACGACCTCTTCCTTCCAGAAAGTCTGCACAAGAACCCCGTGATAGGGGACAAGGCCAAGATCAGCGGAGCCATCAGGGGCGCCATTGAATATCTCTTCACCCGCCATGGCCAGGCGGCTCTTCAGCGGGAGCACTGGGTTGCCAACCGAGACAAAGTCACACGCAACTCTCATCGTATTGGCAAGATAGACCGAGAGTTCTGGTACATGATACAGCACAAAAGCCACACAAGAGTTATCGCAAAATACACCCCGCTTCAGCTCTTTTTCATGCAGCCCCTCGTTGACGACCCGTCTATACCGGAAGCAATGTGGAACGCATGTGACATCAAGGACCAAATTAACAGTCTGATTGAGCCTTTTTGTGTCAGTCCCCTCGTCGCCCTCCTGAGCCACCGCTTCGACCACCGAGTTGGAGACCTGAACTTCTACCGCCACAAGCTGCTCCGGTGGCTGCTCACACACGGTGCTGACCCCGACGAGGCTGACTTTGAAGGCTTCACCCCGCTTCACTACGCAGCATTCTGGCTTGATAAGATAGCCATCAAGATTCTCCTTGAATTTGGCGCCAAAACTGAGACCAAGTATACGGCCGAATGCCTCTCGCCCCTTGACGTTGTCCTCGGTGGCGTTTACAATAGGCACCAGCGAGATGCCTTGCAAGAACCGTTCCACGACAGCTTTGACAGTGCCTGGAAGACAATGGTAAGACGCGTTGATCAGGAAGAAGAGGACATCTACGGTCTGGGAGACGCCATCCGTCGTTGGGATGATGGAAACCAGCTGCCAATGTGCGCTCTTCCAAATTATGAGCTGAACCCAAAGTATGCCTTTGAAAGCTCTGAGCCCTCAGCTCACATGAAGGCCCAGCATTTGCTCCCGGAGCTGCAGAGAAGGATGACTGAACGCAAGAAGATACTCGTGGATATGTTGCTTCCGAGGATGCCCCAGTTTGACGTAGCCCGAGACCCGAGCCGCTTTCGTCAAGATCCCACCGACGACCTGCCGACCACGCTTGATTGGGCTTGCGCGACGGGCCAGAGTAATTATACGATTGGATGTTTGTGCCGGGCCGGATACAAGATGGGTTTGAGAGTACCAAAGGCCCCATTTATGTACATGGACTTGAGGACTATCGAGTCCAACTGGACTCAGAGGCGCTCGGAATTGCTGAGCGAGTGCCCTCAGGCAGTGCCTTCCATTCCAATTAGGAGTTGGTAGGAACTGGGAGTCAGATCGGGGAGTACATTCGAATATCTAGACGGGGTAATTGGTTCGCAGGTGTGGCGTGTCGTAGCATTCTGGTCTATGCAAACGGAGAAATGTAAGATGATGGTTTCAGTGCATCGTTCGCCTTTTCATACTCTGGTTTTCATTTGCTTGAAGTCGAATTAATTTGATAGCATCATGAATGGTTAGTGTGGGTGAGTCGGATAATGTCTATCGACCGTCGATAGGTCAAAGACGCAACAATACGATAGACTTGAAAAGCATGGCTTCACGTAGCAAATGCTACCGTATGTACTTCGAGCCGATTGAAATACAGGTCGACTCAGGGAGCTACTCGTCATGCGGCATCATGGCCCAACCGTTCACAAAGCGTCGGAAGTGACAATCTCCAACTCAACGAGTCCATACCCCTTGATGGTCTGGGTTCCATGATACACGCCGGAGACGGTAACATATCCCCCATGCGTCGGCAAAAGCCCGCCCTCGGCAACCATCTCCTGGTCCGGCCTCACGCTCGAGATGGACAGCCTCGTCGCGTCGCCCAGCTCAAGCGTCCAGTCCAGGGGGTACACGGCCCCCGACGAATGCGAGGTGTACGTCCTGCTCGACGGCACCAGCGACGTGACGGGCACGACTTTCCGCACGTCACGCTCGTCTCTGATCGTCGCTAGCCCGGATGCGGCGCCGGCTTCCACCCACACCCACACGGACATGGGCACGTCGTAGGCCTCCTAGGCGGGGTTCTCGAGGTGAAGTTCGAACCACGACCGACCTGGGGGGCGCGCCGCCCCACTGCCGGTCGTACCAGGTCAGTGAGCGCGCCGGGTCGACGGCGAGCCGGGTCCCGTTGACGGCGATCCAGCCGAGCGTGAGGCCTGCGGGCATGCTCCACTCATAGACGGTGCTGTTGCGGGACTTGAAGAAGCCGAGGCCGCCGTTTGAGGAGGATGGGCGCGGAGGTGGAGAAGGTGAGGTCGAATTCCACCCCGTCCTCGGGTCTGGCGCTCTAGGTGCGCTGTTCGGAGATGCCGTCGGTGGTGCTGGTCGAGCCGAAGCCGTAGTCGGGGAAGGAGGCGTTGAACACGCCGGACGGGGAGAAGGGGGAGACGGGGCTGGTGAAGACTTGGTACTGTGCGTAGTGGGTTGGGTCGGTGATGTCAAGGATGTGTCAGTTTGGTTATCGATTGTGTGTGTGTGTGTGTGTGTGTGTGTTCCCCCTGACACAGAAGCAGGAATAGAAAGTGAGTTGCTTAACGTACCAATCCTTCACGCAGGAGACCATCCCGTTCGGGGCGAAAGGTCGCCGCGGTCCCGGCGATAGGCTGCGTGAGAAGAATCACAAGCTTAGGAGAGAGGGCTACATTGCGGCTGACAGTATGGTATGAGATGTTCTAGGTTTTGACTGGTTGCGGTGTTATTCGGCGTCCTTCTTTAATTGGGCATCACCACGCGCCGTCTTCTTTCCTTGGATATTTTCTGCCACGGGAAACAAAACTTGGATCATGGCATATCCCCAAAGCAGGTCTTGTCTTCTCGCGCCCGAGATGCGGCCCTCTCTCGGTGATATCAGCTCATCGAGTGCGTAGGCTCAACTAACGGGCATTCTATCGTCCGGTAATAGCCCTTCACGCAGCTGCTCGGCGTTATACTTCATACGTACTTAACGTGTGCTTCGCTGCCGTATTAGACCACTGCAGCTAGAGACTGCAGACATAAGATGCAGAAAGAAGGTGTACGTTAAGAAGGGGGGAGGGGGGGTAGAAATTGGACAATAATAAGAACATCGTGGTTTCTCTTGGTGATTGTCTTGGTTGCTGACCATACTTGTTGCAAACCACCTTCGTTATATTCCCCTCGCTTCCAACTCACTCTCAATGAGAGTAACAAGCGCTTCATTCGCAATATTTTCAACAGGTTCCTTCCATCCCAGATCTATGGCCACTTGTGTCCAGTTCACATCATCGTCTTCATCTTCCAAAGGCATGCTATTTTGAAAACGATTGGCGAGCCGATTTCAATCCTTCAAGAGCTTAGATTCCTGGCTGGATATGACAGCCTCTTTGAGCACTGTTTCGTTGTTGGTTTTCTTCAACCAAGATGCAGGCGGACTGCTGTTGTCGTATCGATATACGTTGTTCAGTCTACTTTTGCCAAGAAGATTCACCGTGAAATGCACTTCCAACTTGCATTCATCCTCACCCTTATGGAGGATTTTGTCACGCTTTCCATTCAACAGCCCGAGTGATAAGGCCCAAGGAATACACCACCACCTACGGAGTGATTTGTGGACCGGTCCTTGCATAAAGGTCAGCCTGTTGTCACATTCTTCAGCGACTTTATCTGGCTCACCTGTACTTCCAGCGAAGTTCTTCAACTCCATCTTTGGGGTTCTCCAATCCAGTAGAGAGCGTTTGGGTTGATGCGGAAACATAAATTGCAGCAGAGTCCTGTCGTCGAATGCCGCGTGGCTGGTAGCCTGGATCTTTGAAATCATCCAGAATAATGAGATCAAGGAGAGACCGGGATCAGCATTCCCTCCTCCAATATCCGAGTGGCAGCCAACGAATGCACACTGTTGGACCTCTGTTTGAGGACTAGCCTTTGCGGTCCACTGCCGCGGCTTAAAGCTTCGCCTCTTTTCATCTAGGGCCAGGGCAAACAAGGCATGCTTGACGCATCCAGGTACTTTCTTGTTAACGAACGAAAACTTCTCTCTCCACAGGCCAAGAGGCAAACCAATAGCGCTGACCGAGTCCCATTCAGCAAGTATATGAATCTTCACATCCGGTATGAGAAGCTCTCTAAGCGCGTTCATTTGCGACTCGAGGGTTGTATCGTCTCCATTAGCCCGGCCCCACCTCTTCCAAGAATCAAAAAGAGGTCGAAGAAATGTCAGGCCTTTACGACGAAGCAGGCCAACCTTATCGATGAAGTTAGCCAGACATCGGACGGCGAAGGCACCACGAGAAAATCCGACAAGAACGATTTCATCCTTCCCAGAAGAGCCGTTATAGTTGTTGCAGATAAAGCAATAGGCATTCAGAATGTTCGCTTCCAGACCTATGCGATTAATGTTAGCAAGTGAATGACTGATCGTTGGCAGCAGCCTGTATACGGAAAACATACCTTTCCCTGTCAGTCCCGAATAGCCACGTTCGACGTTCAGCGCGGCTTGGCCACCGATACCACCGGAGTAGTATATGACTTGGCGAACAAGACCGACATGTGCTTCATCGTCTCTGGGCTCTTTATTGCCAAGCTCGTCCGGGTCAGTTTTCGCCAGTTGGCGCACACTTGCCTCTTCTTCAGGATCGGCGTGTTCGTAGTCGTCCTCGCCCAAACGAAACACAGCGCGTGCCAACTTGGCGACATTTGTCAATGGAGTAGTTGTGCCGGAAGCATTCTGCCATGTGCCATCACAGCAGATGAACAAGCGCTTCTTATCACTGGTCTGCATCCACCATCGCTCGGCATGGTCAGTGATATTGCTTGCCGTGCTAGGGCTTCCGTCGTTATTGTTGGTATCATGGCCTTCGGAGTTCTCGGCTGTTTGAGCTACTGTGCCGTCAGCTTTGAGCGTAATTGCATCATAGTGTGACGAACCATCCCCGTTGCCAATACCATCCTGGTCTGGTGCATGAAAAAGATTTTCTGCCTGCTCGTCGGCCATCGTGGATGAACACAACAACACCGGAGGGTCAACGAATTCGCCCTGCTTGAATTGGAAGAGTATGAAGAAAGACCAAAGTTCGAATGAAGTAGTCTAAGTGAAAGCTGTGGAAGAGGTCTTTTACTGCAGGCTTTGCGTTTCAGTAACCAAGCGGGCTTTAAATATACCTCACCAGTTAACCCCATCCCTTCATTCTCTCTTCGCGGAGTTGCAACAGCCGAGTTCTGATGGCGAGAAATGGCGTGATCCAGCCTGCCTAGTTGTCGCATTTGCGGGCCTTTGATCAATATACCCAATATCAGACCGACACGTGCTGTTGGAGATAGCTCTGTGGCACGATGCCATGCGTCGTTAGTGAACGCGAGAGCCTCGTGTTATGCACCAAGCTGCACCACATAAGCCTTCTGTCCAATCATTGATTGGACAGAATGGCAATCAATTGCTGAAAAGCTGCATCACTTGGCTTTGGTATAGAGAACAAGCGTCGCACTGCAGGAATATTGCAGCTTTTCTGCAACTGTGCCTTGAAACGGAAAGCTCTGCGACTTGGCTACACATCCTTATCGAGGCTGCGTGTCGATATTACTGACACCAAGCCGTCATTGTGAAGTGGCCATTAAAAATCTGGCAGATCGTCTGCCATCGTCGCTGATCATGACCTGGGGCCGAAAGCAGGGGAAGCAAAGTGTTCAATATGATGATAATAAGAAGTGAAAACCAAGAAGGCGTTCGGTTAAATCGTCCGGACGATTTCAGGAAACTTAATAACGAAGATAGAAGTCTAATCAGATCAGGTTTAGACGACGCGCAGGCTTCTTCAGTCTTTACCTCTATCAACCGCTATTCAACAGATCTGCAATTTTTCCGGCACGACTCAAAGGTCATTCATCCATCAAAGTACTAGGAGACCAGCAATACGATCTCATGCGGAGGAGCCCTGTCAACATTAGAACCTGAAATCGTTCTGAGTGAGACAGGTTCTCCACTATCATGAGCAAGGCTTCAGAAGTGACATGTAGCTACACCGCCTCATCTGCGCATGTGTCACCGGAGAAATTGGCAGAGGACAAAGAGGAGGAGGAAGTTGGGATTGCACCTGGCTTTTGGCCACGGACTGAGTATAGCATTTAACGGAGAATTGTCATTCAGTGGATGGACTAGTCATAATCAATTGGATAGGATCGGTGAACTCTTAAGGATGTAGAATCCTGCCATAACATCTTCTTGTCTATCGTGCTTCCATGACGTAAGTTTGTTGACTCGGTTGAAGTTGAACCTTTAGTTGGTAAATCAAGGGAAACTGCTTCATTAGGACGGTAGTCAACAACCATGCTGCCTATTTCTCTCGAACTTTTACGATAAACATAACACGTTCTATATTCGCAAGTTGGGCTACGGAATTCTTGCTGGATGTTAAAACTCAACGTGAAGATAATCACATATTCTGCTTGAAATTCAATTGCAACTGGGTGAATAAAGGAAACAAAGACAATAGGTAAGCATACTGATCAATAATACTATTGCTCTTGAAATTTGCGTGCCTTCCCTCACAGCGTATATTATCACATGACGACAAGCCATGATTAGGCAACAATGCGTGGGTACTAAATGCCATCTACAACACACAACTGAAGAATTTGCCGTTCAGCCGGAGTAGAAATCAGCGCAATGACATGGGGATTTGCAGCAGAAGAAATCTAGAACAGGCCATGCGGCTTAAGATTGCGGGACTTTTGGAAGCACCACTCTCATCATTGCAATGTGATGATTTTCTAGATTCGCTGACTCGGGGATACGCGGGGCATCCATGAGGCTATCAGACTGGTGGGAGCCCGGTGACCGGGATTGATGCCCCGTCATCTAACTAGAAGAAAGGTCGCTTACGGTTCTGGATCACAAGAGCTACCAGAATGCCCGGTTGCGTGCAAGTTTTTGGCTGACATATCTTGGAACTGATGGCATTAAACGCAATACATTCTAGACTTGGATCGAAGGAGATATACAACAGCCTATGAAGTCAACTAGAAACCGAGTCAAACGGCTTGATGGGCGATCATTTGCAGCAACGTCTGTGAATCGGATATTCTTCCAAAGCTCATCATGCTAAAGGTCCCTCCGCGTTTCGATGTCGTCAAAAGTTGCAAATCACCCGGGCTTCGCCTTGCAGCTATACGAATATTAGCTAAGACGGGCCTTTCTCGCTGAAACCATGACTGATATCCAAGATGGCGAGACTAGGATAGGCCGTGTTGCAGCTTGAAGGACGGACGCAGCAATAAGGGGGGAGCGGGGAACCCATTGTCTCGCTTACACCCAACTCAGTTGATGTGCGGAACTACGGGAACATCCCGAAGATCGAAAGCCAAGTCTTTATGAGTGAATCGAGAGCTTTCGTTGCTTAGCGGGCAACTTGCGAAGCAATCTCTCGCGGTGGGTTTTGGCATCGTCGACTGATTCAAGCAACAACTGACCGACGAAGTTGAGGACATAATCATCCACTATGAGGCCCGTACTTGGAATTGAGCTCTTGATTCGCGGGAATATCTTCCATACCCTCGGTTGCCTACAGAGATTGAGTCGGGCTGGAGCGTGGAGTGGGAGAAGTACAGTGGCTCGCCTGGAGTTGCTCTTAGCCGGGCTGACGTTCCCACCCGTCTCGGTTAGAGAAGCCACAAACACGAAACCGACGGGGGGCCTACGCAAGTCTACGGAGCGACTTTCCTCCTCTCGCCCCGAAGAGCAGGTCAAGTTGTTTGCTGACATTTTCTTACTGATTCCACATCTGCTGAGGGCAAATGAAGCCTGCGGAGAAACTCTAATATGTTTCCTAAGATTGGACAGTTGGGATACCGGGAGCAGCGGTGAGATGAGCAACGGGATGCTGATGGCCTCCGGGTCTGGAAAAGCCCCCGCCATTCCGGCAAAAGGAAGCTGAATCACTGGGTAATCCGGCATCTCCCAGAAAGCATGAAGTTCGGAAGGCCGTGCAGGAGGAGTGCTCCTTGCGATAATCATCACCGGCCGGCCGATCATGGGATAACCCAAAATGCAACTGCACACCAATACGAAAATGGTTGATCGACCGGGAGAATGCGACGTAAGGAACAATGACGTTCCATGGAGGGCAAAAGGCTCACGATGCACGCTCCTCATGGCGCCAAGCCCTGCGACGGAAAAGGAGCCGTGGGAGTGGCCACGGAGACGTTACAACTTTGTTGATGGTGGAGAGACTGGAGTCGCTTGGCGGGAAATTTTTAAAATGATTCGGGATTAGCGTCAGGGGCGGGATGGGCTTCTCTCAGATCCCTGCTTGCAGGTTCGTCCTGTCGTTGGATGGACATGATGCAGGGGTCTTGTCTGGAAGAAGAGGATCATTGCACTGAGAGCTGACAAGAGGGACGGGGTCGACGTGACGGTCTAGATTTTCGGGGATTTTTGATTGTTGGGAGCGCGAGAATGCTGATGCCAATTAGATTGTGTAGATTGGGGACCTGGGCTGATGGGTTTCTTTTGATTGGGGATGATTTGCAAGGCGAATTGCTCCGTAGTGCGGTTAGCTGAGAGAATGAGCGCAGCGGCTACCTGCAGGATGACCCATGGAATCACAGAGAATGGTTCGGGAAGTTTTTGGCGTCTGGTCTTGTCTGTGGATTTTGATGTCAGGAATCCGGGGTTGCGTCGGAGGCGTGTTGGTGATATATGAAGAGTGCTGGAAAAAGCATCAAGGGCGGCGCTTAGCAGTTTGAGAGAGACAGGAGAGTGCGCGTCTGTCTTGGGCAGTGCCGTGCTGTGACACGATGCATGCAGCTGTCATTCTCTCATGACAGACATCAAGAGGACGCAGTGGAATCCTCCTAGAACAACATCGCCGTGTTCAACGGCGTTCGTTGAGGCATATCCGTAGCATCCGCGGAATCGGGTCACGGTCAATCTCGAATCATCATTTCGATTTGCGATGGGCTCCTCCAGAATTTCGTAGCCAAACGAGAAAATCAGTCATCATCCCAATGTGCATAGCGCCAATAACGAACGCCAATTAAGATGCGACTCGGTAAAGCCAACCGCCCAGGCGACCCCGGGCGGCGCTGACAGCCGCGACAAGGGTGATTCCTACCGCGATTCCTCTCATGGTTCCTCCCGTCAGGAGCAGAGGATCGAACGACATGACTGTGAGAACAGATACAAGATGCTGTTCTATCAACGACGCCTGATGAACAGGAAGCAGCATCTTCAATGAGCCGGGCTTGGATGATGCTACAGTATCTCTTTCCCCAGATTTCCGGAAAATACTAGGAAATCATCTTCAATCGGTTTAACCTGTAGAAGCTACAGCAAGCCTAGGTACACGAACAGCACGAACAGCAGCAGAGTCGGGCCAGGGCTTGAAACGAGACCCAAGTGCTGGGGTGACCCATTGGTGGAAAACGACGGCGCCAATCCACCCGTTTGACATGAATTAAGGAGGGACGGGAGGCGCTCTCTTTTCTGCTTTTTCTGAAGCTCTGCAGCTCTTGGTAAAAACAGGGACCGCGAGGGGGCGCTACAGCGCAAGCGAGGACACTCAAGAGCCTGGACAACTCGCCTGGCCGGCCCCTACCACCGCGTTGCTCCGGGCCTAATCGTCTGAAGTTGAGGAATTAAGATCGGGTGTTAAGGCCTCGGGATGGCGCCGGCGATGTGCAATGCCGCGATTGATGCAACTCAGGGAACAGAACTTTACTCTGTACTCTAATAAGGTCCCTCGATACCCAGACCCGGTCAGAGGGAAACGAGACAGCCGTCGCCATCAGAGAAACAGCGGGAGTTTAACACAAAGTAGAGATGAAGTCAGCATGAGGGATCCCCAACATCAACAGCCATCGCTTGTCAATGTCAATGTCAAGTCAGCAAGCAAGCACCACCACCTGATGTTCTGACAATGACCCGACCCCCGGTTTCCGAGCTAAAGCCATTCTCGGTTGGTATTTCTGGCAGACAAGCCCCAAGCCCAAAGAAGCCCA